CAATGGATAATATCAGTATATCTGCTGTCATTTATTGAAATCAAAAGATCCCACGGTGAGTTTTTCATATGCTATGTAACTTTTTATTTCTCTATAAAATAGTAAAAAAAAATCGAACAAAATGGCATAGATAGTTCATTCGAAGAAAGAAAAGAAAATTGGGTGACCGAACAAAACATTGCAACATTTCATTATACTAGATATTTCTATATGTGAAGTCGACTTTTTAAAGTATGATGCAAGGATTTGGATGTGGATGGGTTTGCATATGTACCTATAAATGTGAAACGTGTAGTACAGACAGATATAACCAGCCTAACTCAGAGGAGATTTATCCGCTGTCCTCAAATCACACCCACAACTGCGTCTAAATCCACATATACATCCCAAACCATAAACCATGTATCTGCCCTCTAAACTCGGACCCCACACCTACACCCTAAAACCCACACTCTTAGATCATACTTTAAGAAGTCAACTTCAGATATAGAAATATTTAGTATAATGAAATGTTGCCACGATTTGTCCTTTGACAATCTGTCCTAGCATCGAAAATTCGACTGCTCTGTACTGCTAAGTGGGATGCGAGGATTTTCAGAATGTTGTTTTTTTCATTTAATCGAATAATGATAAGACTTGGGATGCTAATCATAGTCATATAATCGAAGTGCATTATCAGTCGTAACTTAGTAATATAGAGAGTATCCTTTCGGTAGAGCATTTGACAATCACTGCCAAGTATATGATCTTGATGAATTACTCTATAGAAGTAAATTACAAGTAGTAAGGCACTTCAATCATATGAATGTGATTATCATTCCGAGTCCTATCTTCCTGGAACGGATATAGAGCGGTTGAAATTTTCTTTTTTTTTTCGAATGAATTATCTATGCCATTGTGTTCGGTTTGAAGTCCTAATTTCTTCGAGATAAAAATCTTCATGAATGAAAAATATTGAGTTTTTTTTATAGACCAATAAAAGGTCACACAACATATAGAAAATTCAGTGTGAAGTCTTTTAATTTCAATAGATAACAGCAAATATATTGTTGAAAAATCGGCCGTTATACATCGGGAAAAGTGTAATTTTAAGGGACTAGTTCTGACTGTTTTCTTGAAAATAGGTAGGTACATCTGGAAAATTGATTTTGAATAAGCATATCAAATCATATTTTTGACGAATTTTTTTGTTCCTTGATCCTCTTATGGGTGTTTCTCTTTATTAAAAGAGACGGCAATGGAAGTCTCTTACCAAACCAACAAGATTTTTTATTAAATTTCGACCAAGTGAAAGAATTTTTAAATTTTCTAAATTTTATTTAAAGAATTCTTTTTTTTTTTCATTCAAATTAAATAATAAAATCTTACTTAAACCATTAAGATTAGCTATTTTTTCAATCATATTTGTTGATAAAGATAATTTTCTACAATAATACACTAAAGAAATAAAAAACAAGCAACAACAAAAATTTTTTCATACTCGCAACTGAGTAATGTTGAAATAGAAGCATCCATTTTATCAATTGGTGGAAATTGTCCGTAGAGTAGAACTTCTTTTGCTTCTGAAGCTTTTTGTTGTGTTTTTTCTTCCTAATAAAAAATAAAATAATTTGTTTTTGTTGTTTTTTGCTTTAGTTTTCTAATTAAGTATTTTACCCATTTTGCCAAAGCTTCTTTTGTTGTCATACTTGATTTCGCCTATTTTATAGAAATAATTTCTTTTTCTCTTTTTTTTTTAATTAGAAATATTTCTTACCATAATGTGAGGTTTTTAATGTATCAACTTAGTTAACAAGATTGAAAAATGTAATATTTGGAAGACTAGCAATGAAATTTAATTTCATTCCATTGAACTTGTTGGTTGTTTAGATACAACCTCAATAGATGGATGTAGTTATTCGAAATTTTAATAAGTAAACATATCCGATTACTACTGACACCTATCTACATAAGGCTTCCACAAGGAATATACTCTGGAAATTTTTCAAATAGTTGAAGTTAATTGTGTGAGTATACATCTTAGAAGTATTATAGAAATAGTAAACATATAAATCGATCAGTTTTCATCCGTTATTGAAATTAAAACGATTGAAAAACTATCAAAACTGCCTGAATAAAGCTTCTCATGTTGCACATTATGACTTTCGGTTCCAACTATAAACGATTGCAGAGTGTGTTTATTAGAATTTATTATTTGAAATACTTAGAGCATAACAAAATTAGTATTGTCATTTTCTTATTTCCATATAGAAAGCTTGAAGAAATTTTCTTTTTTCTTATGGAATGATTGAGAAAACGATACTCTATTTTTCTGTGCTATTCAATCACTATTGAATTAATAATCGTAATAATAAAATTACGATAAAAACTGTTTTTCTGTAAAATGTGACAGTGATAGAGTGCTGCGGTTTTCATTGTTCGAAAGAAGAGATGAAGATGTATCGAATTGTATGCTTCAGAATTTTCCAGTCTGATTGTTTTTTTTAAAGGTTTTCGATCGACTTCTTTGAAAATAAATCCACTACGCAAGGAGTGTATCACGAATTTTTAATTTTCAGGTGTACATTCAAATCGTCAATGGAAGATCTACAAAATTCCATAAGATTGACATGTTTGAAATTTATTTTTCAGGAGTCATAAATATCCTAGTTGAAGCTGTAGATGGCTTTTCTAGCAACTTCTGTGAAAAATATATTTTTGCTGTTTGTTTTTGAATAAAAAATCATTTTTATTTTGATACTTAGAAAATTGATTAAGCAAATTTCAGACAATATATTCGAAAAATCTATAATATATGATTCGATGCAGCTTTATCTTCTCTTTCGAACGGTGAAAACCGCAACTCTCTATCTTTTTCCTATGAAAAGTTATTCAAATAGAATTAATACAACCGTCACATTTTACAGAAAAACAGTTCCTATCGTAATTTTATTATTACGATAATAGAGTATCATTTTCTCTATCATGACATAAAAAAAGAGAATTTCTTCAAGCTTTATATATGAAAATAAGATAATGACGATACTACTTTTGGTATGTTCTAAGTAATTCAAATTTATCAAGAAAAAAAACTAGTTTCAGAGTATATTTTACTAATAAAAATTTTCGTAGCACCATCTATAATAAAAAATTTATCTCAGAACTAAAGTCGATTTGAGTCCTGTAGCTAGTGCAAGTGGCTCAAGGGCATTAACACACCAGAATCGATTCAATTCTGTAAGTCTTTACAGACTTTAAAAATATTCATGATCAATTCTCAGAGATTTCAGCACAAAGAATAACGAGTACTGTCATACATATAATCATGAACTCTCTTACCTTTTTATCTACCTAGAAATGTAATACAATTTATAATAATAAAAAGTTATTTGATACCTTGAACGGAAATGAGATTTTTTTTAACCTATTATCTTTTATTCATTATTATAATATAATCTTTTCTGAATGTCTAATGATTTTATTTTACACTTTAACACTTTGGTTGCGGATGACACAAATATGCATCATAGTAATTTCAAGGTATATCGTTGACACTCATAGAATCATAAGTGATATCAATTTTCGTGGAAGCATTTCTTAGTTATCTTTTTTGTTTGGTACAATTTAAGTTATAAATTATTTTACTATGATAATTAGCAATACATAATAAGTATAATATAACTGACTCTTACTTGAAAATTTGCTAAAATTTAAGATTCTGATGAGAAATATTTCTGTCTAAAAGAACATGTTAGATGGTGTTATATTTATAACTTATTTTTCATCGACTTGATATTATTTTATTCAATGTCTTCATTTTATACAAGTTCAACATCGAAAATAACAATTTTAATTTTTTTTTAAACTTTCCAGTCAAATATTATTTGTTTTCTATTTGAACAAAATTCATGTGAATAACACTTGAAAGTATATTGTTTAATTTTAATTGATATGACTAATCTTGAGGTTAGATTCAATCTGTAATTTCTATTAATTCTATAATGCAGATCAATCATATAGATATTTTATTCGATCTTTTAAACGATTATTCTATTTCACTTATATTTCCTCTGATAAAAATTCAAAGAATGACTACAGTTTGGATTTATAGGAATTATAAATCAAATTTGATTCCAGTGCTCACATAATTTTCATAATATCCTATTTCATATTTTTACTAATTAACCTGAAATTATATGTTAATGTAAAACTATTATTGAAAGCAAGCGGTCTGTAAATATTTTTGATGATTAATGATTTAATAAGTTGTTTATTGAAGCATTACATGTCTAAAAATCAATTTATGTGTTTATCATTTTATTTTGTCTCTAAATCAATTACATTTCTGATTATTGTTTTTTTTTTAACATTCACAAATGAATATTAAAATTTTGATTTCATTGAGGAGTCTATTTTTATTTATTTTTTTGTTTGACAAGATAAATCATATTTCTTTACATTAAAAAAGATAAGTGTCATTTTAACCATATGTGTCATATCATGATTATGTTTTTTTGAAATGAAATAATATTTCAATACATAAAAAGAAAAAAACATGACTGTTAAAAAAAATAATTGTAGAAAAATAAAGATATTATTAAAAAGTAACCATTCGATTGTTTTTTCTTTTATCTAACTTATTCATCAATTTTATAGATAATGCTTCCTTTGGATTTGATGAATAGATAGAGACACAAGTATGTGACGGTATTCTTGTATATACGAATACATTAAAAATATACAAAACCACTATTTTCTACTTTTTGTGATTACGTGTCAAAATTTTTTTATCTCGCTTTTCTTATTGTAATCTAAATGCATATGGGAGTATGAATGTGTTCTCCTCCTGTTGCTACTAAAAATAGTTAAGATAGTTATTCATTTTCTTTATTTTCTTTTTTCTTCCTATCTATTTTTCCTTTATATTTCGTAATATCATCGAATGTCCAACGATTTAAATAGTGTCATCATCACATTAATTTTTATGTATTATTGTATAGAAAAATTTTCAAACGTTAATAATGTTTCGTGTTGTAAATATAAGACGAACAAGTTCGGGATACCATAGTCAACGTAGTGAAGAACAGGTAAAGAAAAATAAAACATTTAAAAAAAAAAAAATGAAATACTAACACATAATTTCATAACGAGATTTGATTTCTTGTGCTCATGTAAGATAAAATCTATTAGAAAGAATGAAAACAATGTCTTAGTTTTACACCATTACTTTTTTTTTTTTTCTAATTGAACAAGTAGTACTTATGAAAAACAAAATGATGTAAAGAGGCAACATATGTTTTACATGTGTGTCTGGATGAGAACCAAAAGCATTTAGAGAGCATTTTTTTTTTTCTTTAGTAAAGTACAAATAGTCAAAATGAATATATATACAACATATATTTTTATTCATTTAATTTTTTGTGAATTATTTTGATTATCAATACAAGAATCTTTAGTAGAAAAACATGGTATTGATCATCATACAATAATTATATTATAGTTTATAATAAAATTTTGAAATGATTGAAGAAAATTAATTCGAAATTTATCAATTAACACATCCATCAGTAAATAATGATAGATAAGCAAAACAACTTGTCATTGTTGCGGGTAGGCAAATGTTTTGGTAAAAGATATAAATATTTTATATATAGATGCATGATAAAATGTTTGTTGATATTTTCTTTTCTTAAAAAAAAAAAAAATAAGAATTAGACAAATAAAAATATTTTATTTTCTTAGTTTTATTTAATGTCGTAAACTGAAGACATATATAAATAATGCGTACTTAAAATTTGCTTTTATGGCTTTAGGTACAATATACAATAATTATATATTTACGTTCTTTGGAGCAAGGAAAAGAAAGACAGGATGCCTAGTTTTCAATAGATGAATGATCTTTTCTTCTTTTTTTCCTTTCTCTTATATGCACGCCCCCTACTCATGGATTGAAAACGTGCATTGCCATTCGATCGTTGTGGTCGTATATGTTTTTTCCTTTTTTTTTATATCTTATATTTAGCCTTATTAGTTGTTGACGCATCCCATTCTGTTACTTTTATTATCCATCATTATAAAAGACAGTTACACAAAAATATTTTTTTTGCGAATCAACAGGCAAAAACAAACAACGACATTTTGCTTTCCTTAAATGTATTATCCAGGTTAACTTTCTGCTCTCTAAATAAAAAAAAAAACAACAACAAGAAAATATACTTGTATTAATAGATATATATATATGTATATATAAGCAATGAATCAGGAAAAAGACGAAACACTTGTAATGGAAGAAGAGGTGAGAATAGTTGAATTTTAGATGATAAAATGAAAAAAATAAAAATTGTTTTTAATATTATTTGATTTTTATTTTTATTTATTTAGAATAAAGATGTTGGGGGTACAAATGAAGCCACAACAAATAGTGGCTCAAATAAACATAAAAAGCAAACCGATGATGAAGAAGAAGAAGATGAACCGGTTTATATTGAATCAAGTCCATGTTCTCGGTGGCAAAAACGACGTGAAACAGTTTGTTTATTTTTTTGGAAAACAAAAAAGAAAAGAAAAAATTTTATTTTTCTTTAAGGTTGCTCAACGTGATATTCCCGGTATTGATGCGTCTTATTTAGCAATGGATACAGAAGAAGGTGTAGAAGTTGTTTGGAATGAAATTTTATTTTCAGAAAAAAAAATTAGTGATATTCAACACGTAAGATTAAATTTTAAAATAAAATATTCCTTTATTTTTTTTTTGTATATTTATAGAATAGAATTAGTGAAGTTTTTGATAAATTAATTGAATTAAATCATATGAATATTGTTAAATTTCATGGATATTGGCAAGATCGAATCATACATGATGATCGTCCACGAGTAATAAAATTTATATTGATCATACATCTTGTTTTTTGTCTCAAGATGATATCAATATATAGAACAATGGAGACCTGTTTTTTATAATTTCACTATTCAAAATATCATATATTTAGTATGCTAGACTAGAAATACTAAAAATGATTTGCTTCGATTTCACTTAAAATTGATATTATATACCATACACAACAATATAAAGACATATAACGATTATAAAATCTTGTATTTCATTATTTTAAACGAGAAATTATATTTTTCATTACAAAACGTTAACTATAAAAACTTCAGTTCTACGTGTGGTGTATGATCAATTTTGAGCGATATTGCAGCACATCATTTTTAATACTTCTTGTCTGATAGAGTCAATATATGATATATACAGAAACTATGAAAATCGGACTACATTTGCTATATTTTGAAACTGTCTTGAGGAAAAAAAAGAAGATATCTGATCAATTTTTAACATTACTATACATATATATAGGTCGTCTTTATTACGGAATACATGTCAAGTGGTTCCTTAAAACAATTTTTACGTAAAACGAAAAAAACTAAACAAAATTTATCAAAAAATTCATGGAGACGTTGGTGTATTCAATTATTATCAGCACTTAAGTATGTTCAAATATAGATTCATATTAAAATAAATCTTTAGTTTTATTATACAAAAAAAAAACAAAGTTCAATCTAGCTGTAGTAGTTTTTATAGATTCATTAAGTTTATTGATTGAACTTGAGTCTAATAGTATTTATTCAGTCGATGGAAATTTATTTGACTGGAGTTAAGAATCGCCCCGTTTCTGAGAAATGGCTTATCAGAAAATTTTCAGAGCGAAACTTGTCATCTCGGATGCCGTCTTTTATGAGATACCCGTTTCTCCGAAACAATATACTTAATCGAGCTAGAAACTTTTTTTTTTTACAGGCACTACACTTTGATTGAGTGGTTATTTTTTGTCCTTCGAATAAATATCGAAGGTACCCTAAAACACATGTTTTTTTTAATTAACCTATCAAAAATTAGCGGAACAATATTTTTTGCGATAAAAAACAAAAAATACCCATTTCAAACCGTGTAATAGTATATGTGAAAAAAGTTAAGCTGAAGAAACGGAGATGTTTATGCATTGTTCTTTTTTCATGAAATCTTTGATTTAAGAAAAAAACACGAAACAATGTATACCTTTCATTAATTTGATTTCTTCTTGAATTTTTGTAACATTTAAAGACAATTTTTGGATTCGAAAATGCACTCAGTTGATAGACTAGAAACAAGGGAAAGGCATCTTTAAATCTGAAAATTTCTTTTGATCGAATTGAAAATGAATTGTGTTTTTTTTTTACATCTGGAAAAATTTTTCTCTTTTATAGTTATTTACATTCTTGTGAAGAGCCAATTATTCACGGTAATCTAACTTGTGATACAATTTTTATTCAAAATACCGGTCTATTAAAAATTGGATCGAGTAAGTTCGTTTGTTTCGAATAGATTTTTCTTATTACATATATTAAACGACAATTAAATAATTATATCCTTTCTATCTATCTATCTATATATATATATAGTCCATTATCCTCAGTTGAAAGCGTTTGCTGATTTGGAAATCGGTAGGTGTAATTGTTTTAATATATTTTTTTTGTTTTTATGCTTGCTGTTTTGTATATGCAAAAACTATAAACTATTTGATTGCATTAATGTACAAAATAATTTATTGTACAATAGAAATTTTCATAATAAATAATGTCAACAAACTTCTTTTTTTTTTTCTCTTTATATATAGTTGCTCCAGATGTGTTACATCGTCATGTAAAAAGTAATTCAGATTCAGCAGCTAAAATTTTATTTTTTAAAGCACCAGAAATCGATACAGGTTTATATATATAGAAAGTCAAAAAAAAAAAAAAAGAAAAATGTTTATTGATACTTTTTTTCTTTTAGAATTAAGTCATATTACAACAGCTGTTGATATTTATTCACTTGGAATGGTTACACTTGAAGTAAGTATTATTCAATAATTTTCTGTTTCGTCTCTAAGTTTCAATAAATGGATGCCAAATTATAAATAAATTCTCGATTCTGTCCTCATTCGTATTGATCTATACGATTGATTTTTAATTTAATATGAACCTCTTATCAAATAAGCTAAGCAATCACATTTTATTGCCGATTGTAAATTACTTAATTTACTTTCCTGTTTTTTTTATTGAGCCGTAGCATAGCTATTTTAATATTAATCTTATTGCAAATCCTTTTATATGAATTTGACTGCCTTTAGCGACCTGATGCTGATGCTCTCATTCTGTTGAGCTACATTTCTAAAGTTTAAAAGACTTTTAAAAATCTTCTGCTGAATGCTTCATGTAGATTCTAAATGATTTTATAGCTTGTTGATGGAGTAAATCTAAAAGAACAGTATGATTTACTTTTTAAAAAATTTAAAAAAAATTATTTTCTTCAATGTATCTTTTGACTGTGAAAGCTTGTTTATTTTTATAATTTGTTTGAATTCTTCCGAATCAATATATGCCTTAGACAAGTTGACAAGAAGTGCAAGTCTCAATAATAGAAGAATGTACTTACAAACCTCAACATTAGTTTATATACAGATCAGGACTCTGTATGAATTGGAATGATATACTCTACTGAAATAGACAAGAACGCCATCTATATGAAACAAAAATCAATTATATCTTTCCTTATAAAGAATGTTTATAGAAGTGACTGTTTATCCCGCAAGACGCTTGTCAAAAAATTTACTACTCCGATCCCGGTTCTATGCAATGGGACGGGCTTGTGTTGTTCCATCCCATGTGAAGCCTTGATGCAGATAGAGAATAAACCCTAACCAAACATTTTCATATAAACCTTGAGTAATCGTGTCAATCTTTCAAATGATATATTATTGAATAATATCTTCTTTTCTAATGATAGTAAAATATAAACATGAAAATGTGATGATAAATTTTTTGCAATGTATAGATATGATAAAGTGTTGAACATATTTTACGATGTTCATTACCAGCCATTGGTTACATGTTCAGTCACACTACAAATTAAAATAGATAAAATATATGAAAACATTGTGTGCAGAACGGAAAACAAAGAATAAATATTGTATTTTGAATTATTTATGAATTATTTAATGAGTGAGTTTGAGACCTGCTTGTGGGTCCAATAAGAGCTCAAACAGCCAATATCAGTTGGGGGTAGTTCTCTCGTAAGAGACTTGGTTTATATAGCAAATCAATAAATAGCAAAAGTATGCAGTGTGATGGTTGAGAGGGCGGTGTCCCTTCCAACATCATACTAGCTGTCCAGGAGTTTGTGATTTTTATATTATGCGTCTGTAGTCTTAAAATTAAGTGTTTGTTTCCCTAGAATTTCGAATTGCCTTTCTGGAAGAGAAAATCTGAATTAAAAAAAGAAAATGAAAACGTAGATAGTTTATAAAATTATTATAATACAAAATTTAGATGATAAATCTTGATGTTGGTGGAAATGGTGATGTACATCCAGTAACAGATGAAGTTGTGAATGAAGCTATTCAAACACTTGATGTTCCTGTACAAAAGGTTAAATAAATTTATTTTATCTTGTTATTAATATATCAAGAAAAATATTTTTAAATAGAATCTCATTTTAAAATGTCTTGAGTCTGATCCATTAAAACGACCAACAGCACGTGAATTACTTTTCCATCCAGCTTTATTTGAAATACCATCATTAAAAGTTTTATCTGTTCATTCATTAGCCGATGATATTCGTAAGAAATTATAGAACTTTTGTTTTTGTTTTTTTTTTAAGTTATCTATTTCTAAAATAGGTTTAAATCCAGATCGTTCATTTGTTGTACCTGCTATTTATCCAATATCAAATGATCAAGTATTTGCTGAAATAGAATCAAATCGTGAAGGTGTTAAACCAATTATTTATACGTAAATAATTATTTCAAAAATGAAAAAAAGAATCTATTTTATTTGGAAATTTTATTAATTCTATTTTTTAGTTACAAAGATTGTCCATCATTTGATTTAGATAAATTAATTGAAGATGTTCAAAATGGTTTATATCCTATAACAGCATATCATCTTTTATATCCTACTCGTAGTTCATTAACCGGTGCAACAAAACCAACTCATACAAACAGAATTTTTACTTCATCAGCATCATCTGTATCATCATCAATATCAACCACAACAGAAAATGATTTAATGCCATCTATACAAACAATAACAGATTCATCAAAACTTCTTTCAAATAATATAAATGATTCAAATTCATCAACAATAATTAATAATGGAACAAAATCTCGAAATGGAACAACACTAACAACAACAAAAAATGAAAGATCATTGTCTGTAGCAGGCGATAATGAACGTTATCGACGAGATTCTGTCTTATCATCAACAGGAACTAATAATAATAATACAACAATAACATCTATTACAAATACAGATGAAAAAGAAAATCGACGAATTATTGATATTCAATGTAAAATAAAAACAAAAGAAACTGGTTTATGCCTGGTATACAATTGAATATAGATTAATTCTTCAAATTTTATTATACATCTTTACTTTTTTTTGTTTTTTTTAATATTTAGTTATTAATTAGTGTGAAATTTCAAGATCGATTACAACGTGATATGACTGCAGAAATTGAACAAGATGAAACTCCTCATAATATTGTTAAAGAATTATTAGAACTTGGTCTAATTCATGAGGTAACAGATATATCTGAATCTATATTTAATAGATTAATTCAAAGTAGATTGTATCTTGAGATTTGTACTTCATCATATATGACATTAGAAATTCCTCATAGGATCAAGAATAAATCGTTACATCACATAGAATTATTATTGCAAAATT